AAAAAGACACTGAAATTGATGTTCTAACTTAATTCACTATTCTACTAAGAGTTTCAAATGAAAACAAATGGTGGTCTTGTTAGGCCTAACATCATTTAAAGTTACTGTTGAAAATTCTACAACTATTGCACATAGATTAACTAAAGACATCACATGAAAACTTTAACTGAAATATAAGAACAAGATAATTCAAACACTTAAAAAAAAAAAAAAAACTGCACACTTTACCAACATAATAAGAATAAAAATAATGAGCTCATCAAGCTGGGTAATAGGGTGGGAAAATATATATATAAACATTGCTGCGGCAACTGCAATGAAAAAAGAAAGTACACTGTTATAGTAGAATTTAGAAAATTTCACCAATCTATGGCTATTCATTTTTGAGTTGTAAGAGGTGCATATTTATGTATGAACAGACGTTATTGAAAAGTATCTTTTAAATCCATGTTACAATTCTTTTTGGAAACAGAGTCCTTTATTTTTTATTTTATTTTATTTTATTTTTTTTGTATGTACAGATATCATGCAAAAAAAGTATTCAAATAGATTCAAAAACAATCAAAATGGATATCTTCCTTGAAATATGATACCCGAAAGTTTTTGCAATTACAATATTTTCCTTTACTTTGTACAAAGAAGTAAAAAGTCAGTCAGCTTTCTTTTTGGTTATAGATACTTGAACATGGCAAAGCACGAGAGATATCTCCCTAAGGCAAAGGATGCTTTTGTGGAAGAATTTCTAAGTGAAACATTTTTGTACTCATGTTACACATCTCAAAATCCATTAAAAAACAATTAAAAAAAAAAAAAACTGCAGCAGCTTAAAACTTGTCTGACAAAAACAAACTAGCATTCTTAGTTTGTCAATCTATTTTTAAAAAATTAAAAGCGGATTTGGCCTATCACTTAGAAATACTCTGTGCATTAAGAGGAATAAATAGGTGACAAATACTTGTACATTGAAAATCAAATACAAAAACACGACACAAAAGCTTTTTTGAAGCAATACACAAAATATTTTCTGCAAAACAAATGTACAAATTTTGGAAAGAAATCAATTTTATATTTATTATTTTATTACAGTACAAAGTCTATAATCCAGACTCGTCGGGACTTCGGCGATTCCGGATTATAGATCATCAATTTAAATCTGGTAAGATGGCATGCAGAAATTATACAATGAAACCGTAATTTATGAAATAAAGAGCAATTATGATCTAAAGGGTATCAAATTTTACAAAAAAACGCTTAATATTTGTTTACTTTATTAAACATTTCTTTCAATGTGCGCATGCGTAAAGCATACATTACGTGCATGCATAAATTTTGTGGCTTTGAGGTCCGGATTATAGATCATTCCAGATAATGGACATCCGGATTACGGACTTTGTACTGTAATTATTTTGAAAAGTAGAAAATAATGCTCCTGGCTTCATCTACATCTTGATGAAGTATAGGAAAAAAAAAAGAAAAGGTTGTGTATGCACCTCTTAAAAATGATAAAATCCTATTACTGGCACTGGTTCTTAGACCTAAAAAAGGCATTTCATCTGAACAAATCACTAATCCAAAAGGCAGCTATGCAGATTTAGTGTGAAGTGCGTTTAGAATTTCCAATATTACTAGTTGATATCACCTTTATGTGGTAAAAGAAGCTGAAAGATCAGATAATCAGATACCCATGACTTAAAGCAACACTACATAAACAAAGTAGTATTCTTGAGTGTCTCCTGCTTTTGTGGAACAAAAATGACTCATATTTGAATTTGATAACAATCTGTGATCAAAAATTAATCTTGCATAACAACAAAACAATGTCAACATTAACGTAACAAGAAATTTGTTTTAGATTTCTTGAAATATATGGAGCAATTAATGAAAATCTTTACAGAAGCAAAATAACCCTAATAAATAATAATCACATATTGAAATAGTATAATTCACATAACTACTTACAAGCATTTACATAACAATAAGGATAGAAAATTTTAGCAAAACAATAATGAAATTAAATCCAGAAATAAAAGAACTTATTATAATAACAATTAAAGAAATCCAGAAATTTTTAAATGGAAGTTAAGTATTTAAAAAAAAAAAAAAAAAAAAAAAAACAATACTTTAATATAAATCAAACTTAAAAAAGCCTGACACAGTGAGCGACAAAATTAGGTACAGCAAAGAATTATGCTGAAAATATACTATAAAGATAGCTAAAGTAATTAGAAATGAAATATCCCTGCCCCCAGTGGTGGTCTTGCAATTTATAGGTGTTGGCTATTACTAAAGCCAGAAGCGGTGGTATCTTTATTATGGAGGCATGGGCTACCATTATTTCCTATGAAGATATGAACAAATTACACGCATGCCTTCTCCTTGATTTGAACCCGAGCCCTTTGGTATGGCAGTTAAGAGTCACTAACCACTTTCCTGTCTAGGCAGCAATGAAATATTACAGTCACGCTTATAGATCAAAGATTTAAAATAAAATGAGAAAATGGTTATTTATAATGTGTTAGAAAATCAAAAATAGCAGTCAGATAAAAATAATGTGCACATAGATATGAAGAATAAAAACCTTAACTCAGGATTACAGATGAAATCAGAAATTGTTTAAGAACTAGATTTATGAGGTTTTCTACTGAAAATGATGCTCCCTTGTCTAAAACCATCCTAAATTTGTTATCACACTTCACTGTTTTTCCATTATCATTTGCCCTTTACTAAAATAATACTTAAATCCATGTACTGCCTATAAATTAATTAATATTATTTAAAAAATCCCATTTTACACACTTATCTACTGATATTTAAAAAACTACAGTAATATTATTTGGCTGCAAAGTTACAAAGGAATAACAGATTTCAATTGAAAACTGCCATTTTTACATGTAACATTTTCCAACTTTTCTAGTAACACCTGATTGAGCTTCAGGAAATGAAACTATGTAGTATGCTGTCTATGCAATTCAATATTGTGTAAATATAACAAACAATACATACACATCTGTTCAATTATTCATAAATCTAAATATATCCAAGATGATTAACCCCTTGGGTACATTTGACGTCTGAGACACGTCATTCACTCCCCCCCCAGGAGCGGATGACGTGTCTAATGTCAAACCAAAAATTAAACTCTTGGGTACATTTGACGTCTGAGAGACATCATTCACTTGTTTTCCCTAGGAGCAGATGACGTGTCTAAAATGTTACTTGAGGTTAGGCACAATTCTGTTCATTTCATTGTAGCTTGTATCAGTCATAATAATAGAAGAGGCAATTACAGTAATTCGGTGAACATTATTTGCGATAAACTGCCCCATTATGTCAAAAACAAGGAATATATTTTATGATAGTGATAGTGACTTTAAGAATTCTAAAGAATTGTTTAGTGATCCTGAAATTGACGAATATAATGAAATACAAAGCGAAGGTGACGAAGACGATATTGATCTAGAAAATGATGACAATTGTAATATAATATCAAGGTGTCGAAGACGCACAAGACGGCTATCAAGCAGTGATAGTGAATCTTCTCGTGAACCAGTATCAGAGGAATGGATTTGGGAAGAAGAAGAAAATGTAGCTGATATAAAATGTTTTTCTGAAATATCTGGAATTAATTCTTTGAGCCTGCATAGACTAGGTGGCAATCCTACATCTTTAGATGTTTTGAAAGAAGTCTTGAATGAAGATTTTTGGGACACTATAGTAGAAGAGACAAATAGATATGCCAGACAAGTGATAGAAAAGAAGGTTGTGTAACACACACACAAAAACAACCCAAAGGTGGTTTCCTGTAAGTTTTGATGAAATGAAAGCTTACATTGCATTATGCATCTTGATGTCGCAAATGAAGAAGCCAAAAATGCATATGTGTTGGTCAAAAAGATATGCAATAAGTACTCCAATTTTTGCCAGCACTATGCCACGCGATAGGTTTTTTTGATATTTCAAGCTTTCTACATTTTATGGATAATGAAAAGGAAAATAAAGATGACAGAATAAGAAAGATTAGAAATATAATGGATTACCTAAATAATATTTTTTTTTTACCTTTATACTCCTGATAGTGAAGTAGCTATTGATGAATCGCAACCAAAAATTATCTCTGTTCCATATGCAAATATTTTCTCAAATAAATCCATACCCAAGGGGGTTAATATTCAAACATTTTATACTTTCTCATAATTACCTTATATGCAAAATCTATTTTAAAGAAATTCATGTATATTTTAACTTTTTACAAGTATGTTATTACTGCTGTGAAATCCTGAATGGAGAAAATCATTTTTAATGAAATAACAAAAACTGAACTATGTAAAAGAAATATTCATTTATCTCTAAAAAATAAAGTGCGAGAAATTATAAAACAAATTATTGTACCCACATCAGTTCAACAAATATTTATTAAGATAAAATTTATTCAGAATTCTTTATTAAAATAAATTGATTTAAGTAATTTTGATACAAATTCTTAAAACTTCAATTTTATATTCGCCTTTGTAAGTCTTATTTCTTATTGTATATCAGTATTGTGCTACATGTTGGAAGGGTACAGGAATAGTTTGATTGCAGTAAATTAAAATTTTAAAATTATTTCACTTCCGTTAACTTTCCAATTAACACACAGAATTAGTATATATCATGCCTTCTAAAAATTATATACTCATCTGCCTTACATTCTATTTCTACACTGCTCGACTCGCAAAGCTGCTTAAAAAGAATATTACAATATTTTTAAATACTGCAGGAAGTGTTTCAAAAATATATAACATGTTTTAGAGATCATATGTCATATGTAGTGCTAAAATGATAAATAAAAATAATCTGAATTTACGTATGAAACTAAAACAGACAGCCAACCATTGCTTTGTCAGCCACTATATCAAATTAAAACTGAAATAGACTTAGAACTTTTGTAAACAAGGAAGCTTCAACATTATTGCTGTTTTTATGCAATAATTTAACACTGAGAAATACAATAAACACATAGCTTAATCCAAAACTAATTTATTAAAATTTGTAAAGCCTGAATATAACAGTAAGGTATGCTTGGACATATTATTATACAAGGGGAAAAAAATTCACATTAAAAACAAAAGTGAATAATGGAACAATGTACATAATGATTGGTATTCAAGCCACTCTTTTAAATGACCACATTTTTCACAGCACAAATTAAATAGACAGAGCATCAGTTTGCATTTCATGACTGAGTTGTGTTTGCAGATCACTCAGTTTCTTCTTCAAAACATGCAGCCCAGTGAGGACAATATTCTCTGGTCTAATGGCTCCACAAGATTCAACATTAAAATAAAATTTATTCGGTTTTCCATCAGGAATATAATCAGCCTCAGCTACATTTAAAAAAAAAAAAAAAAAAAAAAGATAAAGAAACTTTTGGTTAATATGTGATAAAATTAAGGGGGAAAAAATCTCAATACACATATCAACAAAATTAACACAAAATATAGAAAATGGTGAGATTTTAGTATGCAAGACAATATTTAACCCTTCAAAAAAGAGAGAGAAGCTCTACTTAATGTAACTATACATACATAATGGCCATCTGCAACTCGGTTAAAGAAAGTTCAATCCCCAAGTAAAATTACAGAAAAATGCATTAGAGATATTAGAAGTGCTTTCAACAAACATAGAAAACTACATCTAAAGATAATCTAGTTCGTGTCATATTTAGCATGTATAAACAGTAAGTTCTTCAAGACAGTTGTACAAGCCAGTGCTTCTCAATTTTTTTTGCCCCTGGAATTCCTTTCAGCAGTGCTAGATGATAATATGTAGTGTATTCGGAAACTAAGTACCATTTCATTCTAGCGCCGTCGCAGCGCTGTGGTAGGCGTCCCGCGCATGCGCACTAGTCTTTCTTGTTCACTGACTTTCAATTGTCGCCATTTTGGTTGCTCTATCTTGTGTTTTCAGTTTGCTGTGCACATTCAAAATGTTTAAGACAATTAGTTCTCCCACTGACTGTGAGATTCATGTCGTGATTAAATTTTTGAATGTGAGGAATGTTAAATGGCCGAAATTTATCGTCAAGTGACAGAAGTTTACGGTGAATACGCGATAAGTGATGGAATGGTGAGAAAGTAGGTAAGAATGTTTAATGCAGGTCCAACAAATGTCCAAACCGAGGGTCGACCTTCTGTTGTCACCAATGATTTGGTAAGGAAAGTTGATGAAGCAATTCATGAGAACAGACGCTTCACAATGACAACTCTTTCAGAGACATTTCCACAAATTTCAAGTACTGTTTTGTTCGAAATTGTGTCTGACCGCTTGAATTATCGCAAACTGTATTCCCGATGGGTTCCAAAAATGCTCACTGATGTTCACAAAACAAAGCGACTTGGTAGTGCCCTGACATTTTTCACGCGGTACAGTGATGAGGGAGAAAACTTTTTAAACCTAATTGTGACAGGTGATGAAACTTGGGTGTGTCATTTCACACCAGAATCGAAACAACAATCGATGGAGTGGAGACACACTCATTCTCCAAAAAAACAAAAGTTCAAAGTGACAATGTCATCACAAAAAATCATGTGCACTGTCTTCTGGGATAGGAAAGGCGTTTTGCTTACTGAATTTCTTCCCAGAGGTGAAACCATTAATGCGGCACGATATTGTGAGACTCTAACAAAACTAAGGCGTGCCATTCAAAACAAACGAAGAGGAATGCTCAGTAAAGGAATTGTGTTGCTCCATGACAGTGCTCGGCCCCATACTGCTGGTGTCACTCTATCGTTAATTCGACAGTTTCACTGGGAGCAGTTCGATCACCCGCCGTACAGCCAAGGACTTGGCGCTGTCAGACTATCACTTGTTCCTGCACATGAAGCGCGGGCTTGGTGGCAAGCGCTTTGGATCTGACGATAACACGAAAAATGCTGTGGAGTCGTGGTTATCGAAACTGGCGGGAAGTTTCTTTTACAATGGTATACAAAAACTGGTCACCCGCTATGACAAGTGCTTGATCATTGGCGGAAACTATGTTGAAAAATAGTTTAAGACATGTATTTTCATGTAAAAATAAAATTGGATTCAAAAAAATTGTTTTACTATTATTTTTTCAAAACGGTACTTAGTTTCCGAATACGCCTCGTACCTCCCTTTTCCAAAACTCAAAAAATACATAGATATTTATTTAAATTTAGACTATTTGTAATGTGCTTCGTAAATTAAACAAGAAAAGTACAAAAAACTAAGTATCAAACTTATTCAAGTGATGTAAGTACCAAAACTTGGATAAATACTTGTATTTGATAAGTACCCAAATAAGTACTAGAACTTGAATTAACTAACTTTTTACATTCATAAAATAAAACTAAATACTTAACAGGTAAATAAAACACTGGCTGCATTCCCTACTGAAACTATAAAATTTCCACCTGGTTGAGAACCCCTGACAGTTACAGACTTTATGGAATGAATTAAAAAATGTTTTTACTGAAATTTAATTTTTAATTTTGGTAATCCAATATAATTAAATAATTACCCAATTAAATATGAGCAAATAAATAATTTTACATATTTACTACAAAATACAACAAAGTAATTAAAATTATAAAAAAAATTCCTTCATCTGATCGTAAAGCAAACAAAAGAAATACACATATATGAAATATACAGAATGTTGCATACTGAATGAGACAAAAAGAATATAAAAAAACTACATCAGCACAACATCGAATGGTGGGTGAAGCAGTTTGAGGACACAGGCTGCTTGTGTAATAAAAACCAGCCTAGAATGAACAGCAGCCTAAACTGAAGTGGCTGAAAAAATTTGTGAAATGTTTTTACGAAGTCCAATGACATCAGTGCACTGTGCGAGTGCTTAACACAATGTGGCTCATGTAACAGTGTGGCATGTGTTACGGTGACGTCTTCCCTTTCGGTCATACACCTTTTAAAAAACCTTGCGACAAACCATTATGTAAAGCTGTGAGAATTTGCAAGATAAGCTGGAGGTAGAGGGTTTTGCAAACAGATTTGTATTTAGGATAAAGCCACTTTTTGTGCTTCTGGCACAGTTAATCCCCATAATTTATGATTCTGGGGCATGGAAAATCCACATGCTGTAATGGAACATGACTGCGAGTCTCCCAAGATACATGTTTTCTGCGCCATTTCTAACAGTTGTGTTTTTGATCCTTTTTTTCTTTATCGAAAAATCGATTAACAGGTGCACTTACCAAGATATGCTATCAGAGTGGTTGTTCTCTATAGAAACTTGGATAACTATATTTCTGCCATAAATTTGATATATCAAAATAAAATAATTACAGTGTTCACATGTATGCTTTCTTTATGTCTCCTTTAATATGAAAAACCCTGTATATAAGCACAGCAAGAATGTTTGGGACACAGTTCCCAAATCAAAGCATTCAACAATTCATTTGGATTCTATGTATGTCCTCTAAGCACCTTTTTTAGTAATAATGGCTTGTTAAGATATTTGAACATATACCTTTGATAGCATTTCTTACAGGTGGTAAATTTGTATTATGTTTTTTATTTATTTATTTTTTTTTCCAATGGCAAATTGTGAACAGTTACAAGTGTAACCCAGTCCATTAATCTATACAAGGATAAATGTGGTGGTCTCTTTATTATGGAGGCACCTAATAGGTGGGCCAACCATTACCTCCTATGAAGAGACGAACAGTTAACCATGCCTTCTCCGGGATTCGAACCCAGGCCCTTCGTTATCACAGTGAAGCTTCCCTAACCACTATACCGTTTGGGCGGCTTTTTATGTTTATATGATTTCAGAATTCCACTCACATACGCTCTTTGATATATACAGCAGGAAATCTCTTCTGTCGGGGCAAAAGTTATGAGTACTTTCAACATCCATCGACTGACTTTGGTAAGATATTGCCTGCACTGCCTTTTGCATATCTTTTGTATCTTTTACAGAACTGAAATATTTTTAAATGGCATTTCCATAATGAATTCTGTATTTATTTATTATATCATCTATAAGCCAACCTTTTCCACTGAGAGTTTTACTATTACTAAGCTTCTTTCCCTTCATTTTTTGCTTTTGCAATCTAGTACCCATTCTTTTCAGAATGTGCCTGACAATTTTATTTTAATAACAACTAAATCTCCATACGGTTCTGATCATTAAATAACACTGGATGTTTTTGCATCATCAATATACTGTGTATACTGCACGTTATAACTCTGGAAGGATGAAAAATTTGCTGCAACCCAGTAACTTACATCATCACTGAAATGTTCTGCCTGCCCCTTTTCATACTGCTCTCTAAAATTTTTCATCTTTTGAATAATTGACACCTTTCAAAATGAAGAATGCACATCCATAGTATCAATTTTCCACACAATACTCCTATCACTGTACACACTCCAGAGGTATGCATACTTCCAGGTACCTTCTGACAGTGAAATTTGAATTATCATTATTACAATTAATCTCTTCTTTGACAGCAGGAGACATGCTTTTATTAGTTTATTCAAAGAGTTCTTAACTTTCAGTGTAATAGGTGGAGGCAAATCCGTTATTCCGCAAATGTTTTACACTCGATAGTCCTTGACCTACAGCAAGCATAACACACATAAACCTAATTTGTTTCTGCTATTTTTTTTTTCATTTACCTATCACTACTGAGTTTTGAAACGCTCATAGTTTAACACAACAATGACAAGAAATACCAATTTTTACAGAAAGTTCACCTACAATATTCGATAATACGATTACCCTTCCACCACAAATTTTGCATATAACATAATCTTCTATTATTTTAAAAACAATACTTTTATCTGTAAATAAAAAACCTGTAAAATTTATATTCTGTATATCCAGAAAATGATCCAATACTTTACTAGAAGTATTGAGCTGTCTTGGAGGAAGTATTGAGCTGTTTGTTCTCAACAAACTGGTTACCCTGGAATCTATAATTTTTAGATCTATTTCCAGATTTCTGTTTGCTTTGTTCAGTAATTATTTTTACAAATTATCATATCACAAACTGCATTAAATTTATACAAGCAAAATAAAGAATAAGAGCAATAAGCAAGTCAAAACACAAACACTTTTTTAGCATGTCAGTTGTAAATAAAATACTCAAATATCAAATACACAGTTTAAAAGTTGAGTTGTATGAATCCTATCCATAGAATAATTGGTAAAATAATACACATGGAATTATAAATAAAAATTAAAGCAATTTGCAAATGAATATTTACAAGCAGCTGCGGATACAAATGTAAACAAACATTGGGTGATGATTTAAATGGCTGATCTGACAATGTTTATTTTGCAACTATTTATTTCCTTTATCTCATAATTTCAAAGGTTCTAATTTGAATATCATAACACGGTTTGTTTTAAAAGATTCAGAAATGTTCACAGTGCTTAACTATGCAAAAAATTAAATTGCATTTTTTTAAAAAGTGTAAAGGTGTAACTCCCCAGTTAAGGTTTTTTGTTAGTGATTTGTACCCACCTTATTCTTTTAAGCGATTATCTGCCTCAAGCTCAGAAGGAAAACATCAAAAGGAAGTAATCACTACATGTGATTACTCCTTTTGAGTTAATTATTTCAAGAGTAAAGTGTATAACTGCTGCACCTGTGTGCACTGCCACATCAGATATATCAATCAACATGTGCCCAAATTTAGTAAACTGCTTAGCTGTATATATCATGAAGCAAAAAGTGCTCATACTGATCACTTGATAGGTATGCTTTTTCTTTCATATCAGTTATTTATAGTTTTTCCATGCAGTATTTAATGAACACAAACTTTCCCATAAATGTTTTTGATATTCTGTAATTACAGAAAATTTTATTCACACCCTTTAAATAGTTTTTAAATTATTTTAAAAATAGTTATAAATCTAAAGAGAAGAGAGGGAAAGAGAGATTTGACGCTGAATATTTTAAATGTCAATCAAATTAAAAATATTCCAATAAAACATACATAGTTTTAGAAATACAGAAAACAGCAATTAAATAAATGTTATGAATTTATATAGCTTACCTTTATCTTCATCAATTGTCGAATATTCACTTTTCGGCCTGAAAAATTAAACAAGCAAAATTATTTTACAAGTTTTTTAAGATTTAAGTTCCACCCAAATGTTAATAGAATTTCTTTAGAAGCATTTTTTTATTAACTTATACAGTGGAACCTCGAGATACGAGTTTAATTCGTTCCAACTGAGCTCGTATAGCAAATTTCTCGTATTTAGAAACAAACTTCCCCATTGAAAATAATGGAAATCCAGTTAATCTGTTCTGCACCTAAAAAAATATCAACATAAAAATAAATTTTTCTAATAAATAACAAGGATAAATAATATAACCATAGTTTACCTTTATGATAGCTTCTGACACTGACTCATTATTTAAACTGCTTCTCATTAATTCACATCAACAACAGCTTCTCAATATCTTGTAGAAGTTTTGGATGGTGCTTGGAAGTACTAGTAATTCCTTTGGCTATATCAATTTCTTATTGCTTCTTCAGAATAGTGCAAGTTGTCAATGTCGAAAGATTCCAAGGCCATAAGGCCACCTTTTCAACATCTTCTGGAACTTTTGAGCGGTGCTTGGAAGTTACGGCAACTCTTTTGGCTACACCAAGTTTCTTAATTTCTTCCTGCTTCTTCAGAATAGTGCAAATTGTCAATGTCAAAAGATTCCAAGGCCGTAAGGCTTCACCAATTCAGTCATTCTTACACCACACTTGTTTACCTATGATTTCTTTCTTAATTTCAATGGTCAGGGCTTCCTTATTTTTCTTTGCAGTACTATCTGAGGCAACAATCTTCTTAGGAGGCATCGTGAAATAGTTATTTCCATGTTAAATGTAATACATAATTGACTCACAAGCACACAAACACCTGACAAGGGGATTCTCCGAGTCGAGCCGGAATGGGAAATGGTGCCACAAATACCAACAGTCTGGCTCAGTGCTCACAACTCGAGTCAATGCTCATATTTAGAGACAAATTTTTCGCTCATACTTTCCTTGTATCTCGAATTTCTCATAGATAGAGGTGCTCGTATCTCAAGGTTCCACTGTATTACTGCACTTATTTCACCCATCTCCTTCAGAAACATGAAAGTATACATTAAGTTGCGTTTTATTACAATACTTAGTCTGACCTAGAGTTCTTCTTGAGCACTAGAAGCTAATTTAATTTTCCCATCTCATTTTAATAAAGAAGAAATGCTAAGATGCTAAATTTTGTGAAGTAAGAAGAATAAAGTGCAATTATGTTGCATGGTACCAAAAGCTGATGCATAACAATTACATTCATGATCGATGCTTTTTCATTATCAGAGCATCCACCAAAATTTATAGCACTTCCTTATTAACCCCTTCGCACCAACTGTCACGTCTACGTGTCAGCAACGAACACACTCACCTCCCGGCCGACACGCAGGCGACTTCACTACCGACTGTCACGTATTTGTGCCAGTATCCTGGAACGTTGTAAAAACTAAAATTTCTGCCACAAGATGGCACTGTATGTCCATATGGTTTCAGATACATGTACATTAGACCTTCTACTCGAAATGAGAGAAGCATGACTCACATACACGTGTTTTTGATCATATAAACAAAAGGGGAAATAAATGTTTCCGAATGGCGTGATTTATGACGTCTCTTTAAATCGCACTTTATTCGCACGTGGTAGCTGTTTATTTAAGTAGAGAAGTTTATTTGCGCTAAAGCGTTGGGTATTTCGGTTTGCAGTTCAGTTTTTAAAAAATAATTAGATCTTGTTAGACGTGAATTCTTTCTGTTTTTACCATTGCAATGTCGAAGCGTCGAAAATGTTTAACAGAGCATGAAATAGCAGAAATGATGCAAAATATTTCAGATACTGATTCTGAAATTCAGATATTCTGATATTGATTCTGAAAGATTAACTGAAAGACATTTTCCAAAACTTTGTTCAGAAGAGACTGATAAGAAAATGAGACGACAATGCTTCGTTTATTCACATTCCCGGAAAAATCCTCAAAAACTGCAAATGAGTTATTACGAGTTCAAGGAATGTAACGTAGGACTGTGTGTAGATCCCTGTTTTCAAATTTTTCATACGAAAACAGAATTTTACGTAACATATTTAATTTTTCATACGTATAAGTCTAAAATGGTGAGTAATGAAAATAAAATGTGTAAAATATGCATTTAAACAAGAAATAAGGTAATTAAAGTATATAGTATAAAAATATCTATAAAGCATAAGCCGTTTAAATACTTTATAGAGCATTATTAAACAATGCGTTGATACTTCGGAAATTTCATGGATTTAGGCTTAGTAGCAAAAAAGACCCCGGCCCTAGACAGACGCTTGCGTAAGACACTGCCGGCCTCCGCAATAAGCGCACGTTTCCGCTACCCGGCTCGAAGGAGTTAAAGCAAGCAATGCATAAGCTTTACTAATACTTGAAATCTACACTTAGCTTACCTGATAACTGAGTTTGCCAATTTCGGCAACCCAAAACAGTAGCTACTTTAAAAAAGTACACAATTTATTAAAATATGCTTCTGATAACTTCACATAATGAATCTTTTGCTTATGATATTTTTAATATGATTTCACATAATTTTGCAGCATTTTTCTGGGTTGTGTTGTTTAATGAACATCCCGAATAACCATTTTCAAGTGACATTTAGCCTTTTTGAAAAGGTTAATGCTCTAACTCCTTATCACACAATTTCTTTGGGCAATAGTAAAACTATGGATGGAAAATGTGTGGTAGAGATGACCAGGTATTCTATAAAATCAACACAGTTTGTTGGTGTGGGATAAGTTTTGCAGTCACATAACCAAGAATCTCATCTGCGGAAATATACAGTATATTTACATGATAAAAAAATATCAAAATTAAAAACATCATATGTTTAGAATTTCCGATACATAGTCTCGCATATTGGAGATAAAAGCGTTTTATTCCATGCAGTGTTGCCACTGCTCGCTTTGAAAATCTCCGAGTTCATTAATCAACAATTCATGAAAGTTTTACAAAATACCACATTAAAAAAAGTAGGAAAAAAATTTGGTTATGGTTATTATTAATCTGGTATTAATGGTTATTATGAAAAGTTTCAGATTTTAAATTATGCCCAAAGGGGTGTTTTCTTAACGTTTTGAGTGTTACCTTTATTTATTAAATATCATGTTCTTCGCACTTAAATCATAACATTCAGTTCAGTAGCAATGTTGTACAATAATTTTAAAATGAGCATATCTTTAGTATTTCCGATACCCAGTTTCGCGCCTGCTGGAGATAAAAAGGTTCCCCCCCTATAGTGTTGCCATTGCTCGCTTTTAAATCGTTGAGTTTGTTACTAAAAAATTCTTTAAAGTTTTACAAAATATGAAACCGATAATAAAACAAACTCTAAATTTCAAATTCGGTCTTCCACATGCCTATATTCGTAGGAGGATTATGTCATTCAAAATTAGATGGTATACCATTGTTTTATCACAATGAGAGAAATATACATACATTTATGCAGATTTTCCATTATTTAATTTGTTTAAATATAATGCAGGACTCTAACATTTGGTGTCAACAGTTTGGAAAGTGAAACGCACATTTATAGTGATTCAACACAAAATCGCAAAACGAAAACAACAGTTCTTCAGGGACAAAGTCTGTTCCAAATTTCTACATTTTAAAATTTAACTGAAAAATAGTTACATTTTAAATGTAAAAATAAAATAAAAAAAATAACTATATACACTGCTCGACATCGAAAATGCAACACCAAGAAGGAGTGCTCAGAAATTTATGCAAATTTTAAGAGTACATGCGAATGATGTGAAATACGCAGCTCTCCGACGCACATGAAGAAGGCACAAGATATAAGGGAAAGAATGTGCAGAATGGGCAATATTCGTGTCATTATTTCTGCCAGACGAATTATCGAAGAAAGTTGGTGATTGTCCCGGAAGATACGTGTAATAGGAGAGAATGCCAAGCTGCCGTCAACGAAGGCACTTCCAGAAGATAGACGATTTTATGAGGAGTATGGTGATTGGACTGAGAAGGGCAGGTTGGTCCCTATGTCAAATCGCAGCTGATACCCATATCGATGCGAGCACGGTGCATCGGCTATAGCGAACATGGTTCGAACAAGGAAATGTGGGAAGAAGGAGGGGTGCAGGTGCAGCCAGAGTGACGTCAGCACGCATGGATCGACGCATCCGCCGACAAGCTGTGGCGGTCCCGCAAGTCACTTGTACCAAGATTCTGCAGCATGTGCAAGATACCCTGGATGTTACCGTGTTGACCAGAACCATTTCCCGTCGATTGGCTGAACGTGGCCTGCACTCACGCCATCCGTTAAGACTGCCATTGACCCCACAGCACAGATGCCAACATTTAGAATGGTGCCGGACTGAAGCGATGTGGATGACAGAATGGTGAAACGTCATGTTCTCAGATGAGTCACGCTTCTCTTTATCCAGTGACAGTCGCCGCATACATGTGTGGCGTCGACGTGGAGGCAGATCTAATCCAGCAGTAACAGTGGAACGCCCCACCGCACGACAACGTGGCATAATGGTTTGGGGCGCTATTGCCTACAATTCCAGATCACCTCTAGTTCATATTCAGGGCACTACGACAGCCCAACGATACTTGGATAATGTACTGCGGCCAGTGGCAATCCCCTACCATCAGAAGCTGCCTAATGCAATTTTCAGCAGGATAACACCCGACCACACAGTGCTCACATCTGCCAACATGCTCTGCAAGGTATACAGATGCTTCCCTGGCCACCGTACCCTCCTGACCTGTCACCAATCGAACATGTGTGGGATGTGATTGGATGCCGTTTGCAGACTCTGCCCCTGCCTTGTTCAGAAGATGAACTGTGGCAATGGTTGAAAGGGAATGGAGAGCCATCCCTCAGGACACCATCCACACTCTTATTGACTCTATGCCTAGACATGTTTCTTCATGCATCGTTGTCCGTGGTGGTCGTACATCCTACTAAGCCGACGCCATTTTCGCTCTGTATTCTATCATTTTGAAGTAAAGATCACTTATTGCTGTGTGCTGTCTGTATTTTTTCCAAATTTCATCACTTTCTGACCACTCTTTTTGGATGTTGCATTTTCAATGTCGAGCAGTATAAATATATTAAACTATATAAATATGGAGGGAGGAAACCATGAACAATAATGAAAGTCAAATACAATACATAACTAATTTTAAAATGCACATAAAGCTCTTGTGCGATTCTTATTTTAAAAAGTTTTATCTTTTCACAGCTCTGAGTTACATAAAGCAATTAATACAAGGATACTCAACCCTTTTTTTGCCCGATGCACCACTTTCATCATTGCTAGAAGACTATTCCCCCCTTTCCCAATTTCCAAACCTACAAAAAATATGTATATTTATTTAGATCATCTTCAAAAGCAAGCACAGAAGGAAATGGGTGGTGTCAGACTGACTGCATCCTCCCAAAACTAAAAAATCTTCCCTGGAGGGAAATTTTCCTGGGAAACTCTGAATTATTAAAAAGCATATACTTTTATCTAGTAGAACACAAAGAAAAAAAGTAACTATTAATGGATATTATGAAAAGAAATTGAATATTACTATTTAACAAAATAATAAGTGCATGAATCAAGAACACATGGAAAAAGAAGAAGGAAAAATACAAACCATTCTTCTGGTCTTGGATATGTGGTATGCCGAAAAGCATTGTCAGGATCATACTCAAATGCAACACCACAGGTTGGATTCCACTTGGCATGTTCTTTTGCAAAGCCTTTTTTAGCATAAGCACGAACTTTTAACTCTTGTCCTTTCCGCAATTTTACAATGAGTATATCTGTAAATAATAGATAAATTATATTCATATTAACAGTTTTAATACATAAAACTATTAAAAACTCAAATAACAATATATAAAATAAAAACACCAAAAACATGTTGAATCAACAATAGAGATTTTAAAAAATGTATTTAAAAGCACTATTCTTTTACTCTGTGTCATTTTTCTTGGGGGGGGGGGAGTTATTTTGGGACTTACACTGCTGAATTAGAATATGACATCTATTTTTTTTAAATCTTTGTCTACCAGTTTTACAAGAATCATATTATTCTGAAATTAAAAAAGCAATTAGGGTATTTTGTGATCATCTTGTAATTTCTAATTATACTATAATGGAAGTCTTCAGTATCTCAAATCATGACACCATAAACTTAATCATAAGAAAAGAAATGCAACTTAAGTTCTTTATAATCAGAACAGTGTTTTAAGTTTCAAATTTACACAGGCATCCACCTACTACTGTATAGTTTAAATATGCAATATTTGAATAAATTGCTTATATTTAGTATGCACTTTTCAATAATTATATCTAGAGTTATAATTTTATTACATCAAAAACTAATTTTTGTTGCAGACTTCTTAATAGTATTTTCACCAAGCATTACAGTTTCATACATTAAAAGCTACAGTAACTTGCCATCCTAGACAGCATGGTGTTTGGCACAAGTTTACTGATATACAAAAACTTGTGACACAGATTCATAGTTAAGGCTTGATTGACTGTGCAAGTCTGGGACTAATTAGCATTCATTAGTTGATTGAATTATGCTCAATTAAGGCATTATTCATGTGAAGGCAAAAGCAACATAAATTGACAGATTTTGAGGTGTGGCAAATACAAACCAAGATTGTTCAAGACTTGAATATCTTTCAAGTACCATATCAGGAACTTGACCTTATTCTTTAAGCAATGAACTATGCTAATAGACAAACTGGTCAATGGTGGCCAAAAGCAACAATCACTTCTAAAAATTATTTTCTGCCAGCATTGTCTTGAAAAACTGTGAAGCAAATTCATGTCGACAATGACAGCAGATTGCCACATAAAATCAAATGAGACATTTTGCTGATCTAAGCAGGTTTGGTATAATCAATAATTAAAAATAGCAAAATAACATAATGATTTAGAAAGAATAGAAAAAAAAATTATTTGAAAAGAATTATAAAATTGAACCCATATCATTGTAAAAACAATCTGAAAAACAGAACAATTTTTTCTATTGCATATAGCAAAGGCTGCCATACTGCAACTTCTGAATCGTGTACGGCTCTTATACAAATAACACATACATATGGAATATGGTAAATTAACACACTTTCTTGACCAAATAAAAATAATTTTCATTTCTTTTTACAAAGTTATCAATTATTACACAGTTAGTCTTATCTTTCCATTTGAAACTTGTTTCACAACTTTCAAAATGCTGTAAATATGGAATTATGGCTTTTGGAAAATCTAGTTGCAACTCTCGAACTTTCCTGAATTCCAATATGTGGTTTTTACTGACATGCAATTTGGCCACTCTTGGCATGCAATAACCTATTTTGCAATTTCAAATGGATAACTTGAAGAAAATTTGCTTTAATCCTGTTGAACATTTATCGCAATTACATTACAGAGTTCATGTGAAATTTCATAAATGATATTCCTTTTCATAAGATTTAGTATACTGCAAATTAATAATTCTAATTCTCATCAGAAATTTATACTTTCTATATCAGACCTTGGTTGTTTTCAGTAATGATTACTGTAACTAATAGAAGGGTTAACTACAGGAAGACTGCTCAGTATCACCCCCGTTAATAATTACCTACAATATATTAAAATTCAAAATTTTTTTAAACTGGTTTGGATGTGCTTTTATGGTTGGAAAGACAATAAATAAGATTATAACCTCTGTTGAAATCTTTCCTTTCCTTAGCTTTTAATAAATTTCAGTGCTTAAAGCAATTTTTTAAAAAGCCTTATCTGTCTTCTTCCTTGTGACAAATCTTGTTATTTCTCTAAAAAAATATAGCTTCTTTTATACAACAAGAAATCACTGGTTTCGTGAAATCAAAATCTGAGCAAATTTAGGACATTAAGGCAATCAGTACAGAAACTTCTGAATAATTAACGAATTGTGCATTTCATAAATGTTTGGAGTTGCTACTAGCACAGATACTTAATATGAGGGGGGGAACTGGGTTCTTTGGTAAGAATACTGAATAGTATGAATACATATACTGAATAGTATGAATACATTGGAAAATTTAAACTCAATCATTAACTTAGTTAATGGAACTCACAATTAAAAATGTACAGAACTCTTGTTGAAGTATAGTCATAGTATACTAACCATAACAAATTATTTTCAACTTACAAAAAAAAAAAAAAAAAAAAAAAAAAAAAACTTAATCAGACTCAAAAGAGAAGGATAATTTATGCTAAACTTTATGCAAAAGAATGTTGTGATACATCTTCAAACAGTTCCAATATTAACTAACAAATACATTACCATCATTTTCACAATATTCACTTGTGTCCTCCTCTCTGTGTCTTGAAGTAACCTATGAAGAATTTTTAACATTAAATATCCATTTACATATTTACATGGACAAATATATATCAATTTAAATATTTTATTATTATACAATTATCATTTATTTTTTGCCTTGTCAAGTGGAATTCTTTTATAAAGAAGCTGAATCCATATCCTCTGATTCACTCATGATTACTAATGAGGACATACACATACTAGACACAGAATTAACACTATAGTCTACTATTTTCTATTCATACGTACACAAAAGAACAATTTCACAAAAGAAACTGAAAATGGAAGGAAAAGATTAGAAAACAATACATTAGCAATGTGGACAATTTAATACACACAAAATTTTTTCAGTTCACAAAGACATAAGATGTATGGGAAAACAGCTATGCTGTGGAAAAGCAATGGTGATAAAATAATTATGGGAAAAAACACATTCATAACTCTTTTAAAGAAAATCCCGACTTCATGAATGGCATCCTAAGAAAAACTGGATCATATTTATCTCAAAAAAGGAAAACTGCCGAAAGTTCAGTCCATTCATCACCAGAAACAGAAATTCAAAAAAGCTACTTTTTACCCACCTAGCAGTTTTTCAATTTAGCTTTTGGGTGGGGGAGCATTTGAATGACAGCATGCTTTCAGACCTGGGTTAAGAATGTTTTCTATGACACAGCTAAATTGTGATTAAAAAAAAAATCACTTAAATTTGGCAGTTATATCAAATATTTTTTGGTGGAGCTGAATAACTACAAGATTTTCATAATTTCTTATGTCAAATATAAGAACCAATTTCTGAGCAAAATGTTTCACAAGTGTATTTATTTGTCCTCATGATATACCTCTCTGTTCAATTAAACCATATCATATATGTTAAATCTGCAATACTTGAATATGGCTGTTAGAAAATGGTGTAATCTCTGTAGATGAAATGCATGATGTAGCATCATTTGGGACAGGTCAAATGGAGATGTAATGCAAATGAAGTCAAAGCATCTTTTAACTGTTCTGGTATTAAGCTACATTTTCAGCAAAGAAGTTTCAATTTCTTTGATTATAAACATATTCTTATCATGTCTCAATCACCTTTCTTGCCAGATTTAATGTATTAAATAATTCTTATTTAATAATTCAAATTTGTCTTTTAAATGTTAACTGACTTACAATAAACACTCACAGTTCAAAAACTTTCTTAAAAAAGGCACAAAAATCACCAACTTGCACCCGATAAGTAACTTTTAGCTTTTCATCTGTAGAAAAATGCCAAATCATGCTAAGGTGGTTGCATTAATATGTAAGTACCTGCAATTTTAAGGCACTAATAGGAATTGTAAATGAAAATAACTTAGAATAAACTGATAATATTATATACATTTGAAAGGCTATCTATACGTCAGACATCTCATTGAACCAATCTCAATCATGTGTGTGTGTATGCTTCTTTATGTTTTAATTATAATTTTGAACTGATATGTGCTTCCAGAAAACTACCGTAATTTCCGGAAGAAAGGCCGCACTCAAGAAAATTAAAATTACACAGAAATGCCACAAGAGATTAAATTGCACGTGACATCGTCGTGGGCCGTATAGTTGCAAAATCTCAACCTATGTCCTGATATATGACATATCAGTTAGGAAAAATGCATGAAATGAAACCATAACTCAAAAATATATTAAAGGTAAGAAATGCTGAAAATATATTTACATTCATGAATATACTTATATTTACTCACTAAAGAAGTCTATATATGTAATATTCAGACTATATTATAAAAAATGTTGCAACAACGAAATATTAAATTTGAATGACAAAAGGAAATTTTAAATTTTACTTACAAAAGGAATTACAGCAAACTATACATCATATGAAGCCATCAAAATCTGATTCTTCACTATCTGAATTAAAAAGATTTAGTAAATCCTGATCTAAGTCCAAGTCTTCCAGATCATCACATTCATCCTCTTGATTTACAGTCTCTTTATCTAAGGATATAATTTCCGCTTCTTTGAACCCTGCTATTATTGACGATGTTTTTTTTACCGATTTCCATGAACTTCCTACCCACTGTGCAACTTCTTCATAAGATGCTTTACGCATTTTACCACTTTTGGTATACGTATGCAATCTTTCACTCATCCAACACTCCAAAGCCTTCGGACTTCAGCTTTGAAGGATTTATTACCTGACAAATCTAATAGTTGTGTCAAACCACCAGGAATTATTGCTACGGTCGTAGACAATTTTTTATATCTGGTTTTCATTGATCAAGTAAATGAGCACACATCAAATCCATTGTCAGTAACCCTTTTGGTTGGAAAAAAGATCCCTTACGACACTGCCAAACTTTTTTGTAGCCACTCATGCATGATTGTTTCTCATATCCAGCCATTCTCGTTTGCACAAATAATTACGTCATTAGGAAAATCTTCCTTCGGAATAGTTTTTCATTTAAAAATGATCATCGGCTTTAGCTTGTCACTGTTTGTGGCACAAGCTAATGTAAATGACGTTCTTTCATGCCCCGTCGTAAGCACAGATACAGTTTTTGCACCAGTTTCGTTTGCTAGGTCGACGTGTACATGGATGATACCGTGTATGTGCAATTCTTAAAAACGCGGCAAGCAGTGGGCGATTCTGCATTTTGTCCCAATTTCGCACCTAATCTTCATCATGATTAAGCACTTTTGTTACATAAAAGTTCTAGCATAAGCGTAATTTGGCTAGCAGATTGTTGGGAAAAAATGTTGAATAAGAAAAAAAAAAAGCCTTTACTTCGTGAAAACAAAATGGCGTCCATACAAAAACTAGCAGGTTGCTGCAGGAGGGTTAATCGCCAAATTTTCCCCAAGTTACCATAATCCAAAGATTAACCATTTTTTTCTTTTCATAAATCTGCTACACCAGCAAAGCCCTCCTTTGAAATCATTTATGTTCATCTGTTTTGCTATAAATTTTGCTTGTAAGTGAATTTTTACAGTCAAAATTGCCATTCCCTTTCCTCGTTGCTCCTTTATCCAGTTTGCAAGTTCGTCCTCTAGATTGGGCCACCTTACAGTTTTTTTGTTTTGTACAGAAGTTTACACTTCTTTTGGCTCGTTTCTGTTGTGGCATATTTTTAAGTTCTTTTTCAGTTCTACAACGTTGAACTCGTCAACTTCAAACTCTAGAGCAGCTGCTCTATTTCCAATTTGTTCAGCACGTGAAATTACATTAAGCTTAAAACCAGCAGCATAGCTTCTCTGCCGATTAGGTGCCATTTTAAAAAAATTTTCCGCTCCTTCTTACTTAAAAACAATCCAACATATACTTGTACCCAAACTGATGGGATCTGTATCTGGCAGAATGCCAAGAAAAATTCGATTCATGCTGAAGGGAGGAAATACGTCAGAAGTTCATTATTGCAACAGGCAGGTGGAGTCGTGTCCGCCTTTCGAAAAAATTGCAGTAGGACATTTACAATGGAAAAGGCAGGGGTGGGGAGAGGATGGGTCCTGGAAGATTCATCGAATGGCAGAGGAAGAGAGACTATTCAAACTGATGAGAACGCTGATTTGAAAGGGGAGAGAATGTTATTGTTCTGAGATCCCATTTAGGGTGAATAAGGCATGTACTTCCGTTCAAGGGAAAGAATGTAAACAAAATAACGTTCGTAAAAAGCAAATGAGTGGTCTTTTGTATGGGAACAGCACCAGTCTATGTACAATGACAAGGCCATCCAAACTATGTACAATGACAAAGTTATTCAAACTACGTATAATGACCATCATAGGAAGTATTTTATTTTTAGTACACCTAAACGCCGCACCTGCTGAAAATTTAAGTTTTAAACACGTAAACGCGGCGGCATTTCTTCCGGAAATTACGGTATTCACTGGGATTACAGAGCACTACATTTTACAAAGAAATGTGCATCATTCATTTTAAAACATTTTTAAATCTAAATCAATATTGTATATAAAAGATATTTATATACATACACACATAAATTCTTGGAGTATATATACTAATTTAATTCAAAAAATTGCAGATTACTATTATTTGTAAACTATTGGTGAAAATAACAGTATGTGAAACAACTACTGTAAATTTAATTTAGGCTAAATATTATTATTTTCATTTGAATTAATTTAAAATTCAAGAAGGAATAAATAATTATTGACAATTTAATGAAAAAACAATTACAAGGCACATTACAAGGCTTTACTGACATTACGAGGCACTAAGAAATAAGGCTGACATTACAAGGCAAATTAGACCTTTCTCTTTCAAGTAACATTTAAAAAAATAGGAGCACTATAGTAAGCAACAATTTGAAATTATCTATTCCTCATTTTTTAACATGATTTACATTTAGATTTTTCCAATTATCATTTGTATTTCAACTTATACCTTCTATTCATATTTTATTTACTTCATTTTAATATTTTTACTTAATGAAAACAGCTTTTAAACTTGAAAGACTAAATTAACATAGGGGTATTCTCCTGAGCTATTTGAGGTATAGATACATAAAAAAATTTAAAAATTACTTTAAACAGACTATAAAGACAGAAATGTTAATTAGTATTCCCTCATTATTGAAAAGTCTAATGAAAAAAGGGTTACATCCCCTGTTAACATTAGAATTGTATCATTAAATCATCAGTAATTAATTATTTCCTTATGCATTTTTAATTCATTTAATTGAATTTAATTTTCAGGATAATGATAATATTTACAATAGTTTTTTCACACACACATTTACTTCCATAAATTATCCTCATTTAATAACTACAGTTTTATTAATTCAATTATTTTAATCTTAGCTTCATTATTGCTAGATTTTTGATTGCCCATACAATCATTTTTACATAATATATATAATATGTAAAAATGATAAAAAATATAAAAATGATATATATATATATATTACCGGGACAACTCTCATGTCACTTGACTTCATATCTGCAGTAGTCACATGACGAGTCTGTTCTTCAGTGCACTTGACATCCAAAGTAAATTCAATTGAACAATCAGGACAGAAGTCAATGCATGTACAATCCTATAAATGTTTTTTAAACAATATAGAAAAAAAAAAAGTCAAATGATGAATAAATAAATACAAAACTAAAAATATTCATTACATCATAACAAAATACAATTAAAAATGTTAGTCTAAAAGTATATAAAAACTGTTTGATAGTTAAAAATTGGAAGAAAATTCCTAACAATTTTTTTTTTTTTTTTAAAATTCAATTAATTTTTATAACTGTTCTCAGTTATTAACAGTTCAAAGAAGGTAAAATTGTTCCCAATTAGATGGATTTCATTAGCAGACCAGACATTATTGCTACTTTCACTTTAAAGAAATACTTGAAGCAAGCCTCATGCACAAATAATCCTGTGAAAGAATAGCATAACCTTGAATAACTAAGCCTTTTCTTTATCAAAGAATTGAAAAAGTGTCCACATAGCATTAATTTATGATAAAAGAATGCATCCTTTTTTTTCGGGGGGGGGGGGCTTCAACTATGTACATGTCAGCAGATATTACAGCATGACTATACATAGAATAAAAAGAATCTATAAAAATGTTTCACAAAAACACCTTGTCAAAGGCAGATATTGCAGCTTTGAAATAATAAATCAATCAAATTTAATAGATGTATTTTTGTGAATAATTTTCTTTTGTAAGAAAAAGCAACAACAGAATAGGATATTTTAAGGAGGAAAGTAAATTATTATTAAATTTTTTAATTATTTTTACGTCTACGCTATATAATCTGCCTTAGCTAATGACTTCAAAGCAATGATGCATAATCACTTTAGACTGAAATAGTGGAATCTAAAATTGCCATTGCTAATTACAGCATTAGAAAAAATGGAAGCATACTATTATGCTATTTCTAAAAGATAAATTACAAAACATTATTTGATAAAAAAAAAATAAAAAAAAAAAAAAGCAGTGTTACTCCAAATGTCCAAATAAAAAATGTTGTGGCAGAAAATACAACTTGTGATCTCATCTACTTTTACTGCCGTAAAATTTAAAAGGATTTATAATACCATATTACTTTCCCCCTAGCTTGTTAACACCAGGTTCTGAAAGTTTAAAAAATATTTGAATAATTTTCCTCTTTTCCTCTTCATCAAGGTCTTTCGAGAATGGGCTCTCTTAATTTTAAAATGAATTTGTATATGTAGTTATTGTTTTCTGATTACTTGTGAAGTACTTGTGAACTACTTGTGAAGTAATATCTGCTGACATGTACATAGTTGAAGCCCCCCCCCCCGAAAAAAAAGGATGCATTCTTTTATCATAAATTAATGCTATGCGGTTCAATAATTTGATAAAGAAAAGGCTTAGTTATTCAAGGTTATGCTGTCTTTCACAGGATTATTTGTGGATGAGGCTTACTTCAAGTATTTCTTGCAAGTGAAAGTGGCAATAACTTCTGATTTGCTAATGAAATCCATCTAATTGGGAACAATTTCACCATCTTTGAGCTGTTGATAACTGAGGACTGTTATAAAAAAATTAATTTAATTTTAAAAAAAAAAAAAAAATTGTTAGGAATTTTCTTCCAATTTTTAACTATCAAACAGTTTTTATATACTTTTAGACTAACATTTTTAATTGTATTTTGTTATGATGTAATGAATATTTTTAGTTTTGTATTTATTTATTATTGCAAACTACTTGTGAAGGTTATGCCGAAACTTGCCCTTCTAGCTGCGGAACTTTATGCCAGCCTGATACGAGAACCCTAAAAATGCAGCAAAACAAACATGAAATGACATTCAGTCTACAATTTCACACAGCCAGTAGCAAATTCGCAGTTTTTAATTATTTACACATGATTTGTGGTACCCTCTGACCTTGCAAAGGTCACATAAAGAGTAGCAGACTTACAAGGAGATTCAAGTCACAGGAAAGTAGAAATGAAGATACCTTATTAGATATTGTAATATTATTATTAACCAATATTATTATGTGCTCTTAATTGGAATGTACATTTCTCAAAGAAATAATATTGTGATAGTTACTTGTAGTTTATTCATGTCTACTTCTTATTTGTAATGTTCTTACTGTAACCACATAATTATACTGTTATTCACATATTTTCCCGTCTCGGTTTCTTCTTCTTCGGTTGCACCACAACCTGTCACAGGCCATGGCCATATCAACAAGCTTCCTCCAATGAATCCGATTAGTCACTATGGTCCGCCAATCATTGATTTTGATGTTTAGACTTCTGAGATGATCTTCCTCCACCGAGTCTATCCCTCTTGTACAAGGTGTTCCTCTTTTCCTAGTAACCTCTAAGCTTGCAAAGGTCACCTTTTTCACATCTAAAAAAAATTCCAAGCCAGCTGATATGATAAGATCTGAAACCTCAGACAATGTTAGGTTGTTTGCATCTTCTATATATTTTATGGTTAAACAACATTCCATCTATTATTTCCTCTAACTGGGCTATATATGCGATGTGTTTTCTAAGTAAAGGCTGTTTGAAAATATGAAAACGAACGAAAGAAAATTTTCAAAACCCAAATTTATTTTCCTATTCTACACACGTTTCTCTATTTCTCAACATAGCTGCCAAAGTTTGTTTAAACACTTATCATACCTTAGAACTAGATTTTGAATACCCTCTGCATAGAAATTTGCTGCCTACTCCAATAACCAAGAGAACATGGCCGTTCCTATGTCTTCGTTATCGTTGTAGTGGTTGTTGCCGAGATGATGTTTGCGATAGCAAAAAAGATGAAAATTGCTCAGTGTAAGGCCTGGGCTGTAGAGGTGGTGGTGCAAAACTTCCCACCCAAAAAGAGTCCAGTAATACTCGGGTCTGAGCTGCGGTACGAGGCCTTGCATTGACATGGAGTAGCAAAGTTTCCTCTGTCAGCATGCCACATCTTTTGTTTGGAATCGCTCTGCCCAGCTTTTGCATGGTTTGGCCCACAGGCTACCACATTTATGGTGGTTCCACATTGCATGAAGTTGACCAACAAAACGCCATGCCTATCCCAAAACATGGACGCCATTGATCTTGCACTAGAATAGAGTGTGTTTGGCTTTGACCCTTACAGAAGAGTGTGTAGATCTCCACTCTATGCTCTATTGCTTCCATTCAGGCATAACATGTGGAACCCACATTTCGTCTCCCATTATGATCCGACTCAACATTGTGTTACTTTCTTCGTTATAACGAGTTGAAAAATTAAGCGAACACTTAAATCTTTTGTTTTTGAGGTCCTCCATTTAGGGACCTAATGGGAGCACAGTTTCTTAAACCTTAACTTTTCAGAAACAATATTGTTCAGTACTGACCTAGACACTTCAGGACATTCATTTGAAAGAGTGCTTATGGTGAAGCTTCTGTTCTCAAGAATTTTCGCTTCAACTAAAACCACCATATCATCTGTGATCATAGATTGGCGACCAGAACAGGCTTCATCATGAATGTTGTTACGACCAGATTTAACCAACATGTGGTTAAATCTCATGACATGTGGTTAAATCCATAACAACATGTGGCAGATTTGTGAAGTCACGGCAGTAGCTCCGTAAACTTCACAAATCTGCCAGTGGATGTCTGTAGTAGACAGTTTTCTTGATGATAAAGAGCACATCACTGACTGTATCTTGCACGGGGTTGCCAATTCAATAATCTCAAACATTTTAAAGACACAGAACAGACCATACATGTTACCTACGCAGCTGCAACTGAGCACAGTTGTTTAAAAGGATACTGCATCCTGTATAGCTGTGCAGTGTTTAACCTTCTCAGCATTATAAATACAAAATTCTGTATAAAAGTGTAGCTTTCTTATTCATTGCACATGAAAATTTCTGTCAGCTTATACTGTATCTAATTTCCAGTTGGATGTATATTGAAAGAAAAGGATTCGTGGCACAAAATGACAGAGTGTTTTCTCAATAATAATCAAGAAAATACCATTTATTCAAGAGATTTTTAGGAACTTAAAAAAATTTCAGGGGTAAACCTGTAATACTCAAAGAGTTAATGTACATGATGCTGATTTTTTTTTTTTTTTTTTTTGAGTAAAAGCAAATTGACCTATATACGACTATATATATTATATGATACATTGTTATTATAAGCTATTTTTTTACAAAGCTTCAAGTACTGCTAAGTTGCCCCCACGTATTATATTTTACACCAACCTTTGTGTTCGGTGCCTTATTGCCAGAAAAGTATCACAATTTTAAATTAATAATGATACTAACCCTAGAATACTGCATTTTATCTACAACTTCATCACTTGTAAGAGGAATCAGACCTAATCTATGGGCAACAAATTCATCATGAAGAACAGTTGAATTTGCTTCAAGCTGAACCCAATCAATGGCTAATGTAGGAACTTCAGCAATAAAAACTCTTCGAAGGCTGTTGGCAACACTGAAATAGATTTTTTAAAATATATACATATTAATTCAGAAGTCTAACAACAAATACATATTATTTAAAAAGTCCAGATCTATATAGTTTAAATATATCTTTTCAATAACGATTTGATCCAAGTATTTTTTATACAGAAATAAGAATATAAAAAAATGGCATAAAAACATCAAATCATATTAGTATTTTTTGCATATATTCATTTTTTACATACATGCAGTATGTAAAAAAGACATATTTAGAAAAAATTATTATTCACAAATATTCACATTTTTGATTTAGCTGCTGTTAATTTGTTGCAAGTTCAATCATTATTTTGTAAAATGTTTCACTTTTATTTAATTACCTCTAAATCACTATTATGGTCTGAACTTAGAAAACTTGCAACATAATCAGATATGTAAAATTCACATGTTCAGCATCAGCCACATTGCACACACTATCAAGAGAAATACACTAAAATGATGATTTCAAAATGTCTAGTTACGCAGTATAAACAACAGATTAAAACACTGAAGAATAAGTTGCACTAAGAAAATGATCTTGTCAGATCTAGTGAATTTTTGCAACCTAGAGACACCAGCACATAACCCATAATCTGCAGTTCATCTGCAACACTTTGCCTTGAGTCAGATGATGCAAGTATTTGATAAGTATGCTTCTTGAAAATGATGTTTCAACTGTGTAATTCTTCAATAACCAAACTGACTAACATTTGTAGAAAAACATTTACTGTATTGTTACGAATTTGGTATTTAAAAAGCTAATATTAGTTCAATTATAAATTAATTGGTTTTATTTCTCGCGCAGTGCAGCGCGTGACGAACATTAAAAGAAAGCTAAGCCGGATAATTGAAAATACAAGAGCGCGTGCATTATATAAATAAATATCTCTTTTTGATTTCGAGAAAGTACTGGAAAATTCTAGCGCATGATTTTAAAATCTTATAAAAGGAGGAAAACATCTCAGTTTGTAGTAGTTGCTTAGTTTTGTTGTTGTTTAGAAAACTGCTCTTGTTGATTGTAGCGAATTCGCGGATTAGCGTTCTTTAGCTGTTTTGAATTACGTTCTATTGGACATTTGAGTAGTTAAAAGGATAACTACTGTGAGATATTGTAATACTGCATGATAATTTGAGAAAATTTAAGCATTTTTTGTTGTGATAATAATAAATTTTTGTTCATTTTTCATCGGACTTGTGCATTCATTTCATAACGAACCCGTACGCACGCAACAATTTTTGGTGTCAGAAGTGGGATTTGAATGCCAATAACAAGAGCGATGGAAGAGCAATTAAGGCAGTTAATATCAGCCTTTGCCTCATTTAAAGAAGAAATGAAATTGGGCCAGGAATCCGTTAAGGACGAATGAAAATGAAAGCCAAAGAAGTTCAAGCTTTCAAGCTGGTCAAGAAAAGATTGAAGCATGTCAAGAAGAAATGAAAAGAGGAAATTACCTGCATAATAGAAAATAAATTTGAAGCTATGGAAGGCAGAATTGACACAGTTGAAAATAAAGTTGGACAAATTGAAGAAAAAGTTTCTTTCGTAAAAGATCAAATTGAAGAAAGAGTTTCTTCGGTGAAAGAAGAAATAAAAAAAAAAAGTTTCTTCTGTAAAAGAACATATAGAAGGGAGAGTTTCAGCTGTGGAGGAACGAATTGAAGGAAGAGTTTGTGCCGTCCAACACCAAGTCGAACAACAAATTGATGAGAGAGTTTCTGCAGTTGCCAAAGAAATGGAAACTTTAAAGAAATTCGTAGCGACGGCAGGGAGCAAGAATGATGATTTTAAATTCTTACCGATGCCTGCTCGTCCATTTCTGAAGCTATCCACATATGATGGGAAGACCATCCTGGCAAGTGTATAAGACCCAAGTTTTCTATCGTTGCGGATGCGAATGGATGGGATTCCCAAGCTAAGGCCTGTCATCTCGCCGCTTCTTTAAGAGCCGACGCAGCGGATATCCTTCAGACTCTTCCCGAAAACAAAAGGTTAGATTTCGAAGCTCTGTCCGGCGCTTTGGCGAGAATGTTTAAAAGACTACAGCAGGCTTCAATTAAAATCCCGTCAACAGAAGCCCACCGAAATCACTTCAGGAGCTCGCCACGGATGTTGAAAGGCTGTCACATCACGCCTTTTCGGAGTGCCCGACAGAAACAAGGGAAATCCTGTCCCTGCAATATTTCATCGATGGCATCCGGGATACTGAAATACAGAAAGCTCTACGAATGGCGGATGTTAAAAGATTTAAAAAGCGCTTCTAGTGTACGCCATGAAATTCGAGGCAGCCCAGCAAGCCACTCGTCGAGAGACCGCCCCCCAGTCAGAGCTGCTCAAGTCCAGGAGCCAGGGGATCAAGTCACCGCTCATCTAGACGATTTAACTAGACAACTGAACGCCTTGGGACAGAATATTAGCAAGAAGAAACCGACCATCAAGTGCTGGAACTGTGGTGCTGAAGGACACATACGACGAAACTGCAGAAAACCCCAGGGTAAGGATGTTAAGACCGCTACTAACAAACAGCAGGGAAACTAATTAGTGGCCATCTTGCGGGCCAAAGTTGCCAGATAATGAAAAGCCCCAGTTTAAAGCACTTCAGATTTCTGCAGTGAGAGGCGGCAGTAATGGACTTTTCATAATAGGACATATTAATGGAGTTCCCTGCAATATGACGATAGATACAGGAGCCAACGTTACTATCATCCGAAAAGATTTGGCTCAACAACTGGGAAAGCAAACTTATCTGGACGCCGCCCTGCGTTACCCTACAGACTGTGTCCGGTGAGAAGATCGACATCGATGGGAAAAGTAAATGTTAACATCACGTTTGGAAGTGCCGCTTACCATCACACACGGCATATGTAGCAGAGATCACTGATTCTTGCATACTCGGATTGGACTTTCTAAGGAAATACAATTTTTCCTTGGACTTTAAAAATAACGAATTGCATTCTGCGTCTGAGGACATAGCGTTATTTGGAATTAATAATGAAGAAGTTAAATCTGTCCACAAATCATAGCACAAGACAATATCACAATACCGGCAAGAACAGAAATTTTACTTCCCTGGATCCTATAGCCGAAAACAGAGATTTCCGCTACGGCATCATAGAATATCCCAATAACTGTAATAGCCCGAAAGGAGTACTAGTAGCCTCAACACTCGTCGACCTATCGAGAACGGTTATCCCGGTGAGAGTTGCCAATGTAACTGAGAAGGCGACGTGGTTGCAGCATGTACTCCAGTAACCAGCGTTGAAAGAAAGAGTAACATCCCAAGAATCCGTGTCCTCAGAGAGCATTACATCGGAGTTATTGCAGAATGCGCAATTAAACGATGAAGAGAAGAATGCTGCCGATCGCGTCATTAAAGATCTTCAAGTTGTTTTTCTCCCGCTCGTCTTCTGACGTGGGTCGAACTAGTTTGACACAACATAGAATAGATACCGGCGATCATCCCCCGATCAAGCAACATCCAAGACGTCTCTACCGTTTGCTAAACAGGAAGAGGTGCGAACACTGTTAAAAGATATGGAAGAAGGCGATGTCATCGAGCCTTCAGCAAGTCCATGGGCATCTCCCATCGTTCTCGTCAGAAAGAAAGACGGCTCAACAAGATTTTGCGTTGACTATCGCCGGTTGAATGAGGTTACGAAGAAAGACAGTTACCCTCTTCCTAGAATTGACGACATTCTAGACACTCTTTCTGGAAGCAAGTGGTTCTCAACACTTGATTTAAAGAGTGGGTATTGGCAGGTAGAAATACAGCCTGAAGACCGAGAAAAGACGGCATTTACTACGGGACAAGGGCTTTGGCAATTCAAGGTGATGCCGTTTGGACTGTGTAATGCGCCGGCAACATTCGAACGTCTTATGGAGACTGTTTTGAAAGGCCTTTCCTACGAAGCCTGCCTGATATACCTGGACGACATCATCATCGTCGGAAAGAGTTTTGAAGAACATTTAGAAAATCTTAGGAAGGTGCTTCAGAAACTGAAAGAAGCCAATCTGAAGCTGAGTCCCGCTAAATGCAAATTGTTCCGAAAGGAAGTGACTTACCTGGGACATGTCATCTCTGCAGAAGGTGTGCGCACGGATCCTGAAAATATATCAGCGGTTAAATCCTGGAAACGTCCCGAAAATGTCCATCAGCTGAGAAGCTTCCTAGGGCTTTGCACCTACTATAGGAGATTCGTGAAGGACTTTTCTTCCATCGCAAGACCCCTTCACAAGCTGACAGAGAGCAAGCAAACGTTCTTGTGGACAAAAGAATGCGAGGATGCATTTAACAACTTAAAGAAGGCTTTAACATCTGCTCCAATCCTGACGTATCCTCAGCTCGACAGACCATTTATTCTCGACACGGACGCGAGCAATGAAAGTGTCGGTGCTGTTTTGTCCCAAGAAATAGACGGCCAAGAACGTGTAGTGGCGTACTGGAGCAAGTGCCTGTCTAAACCGGACAGGAATTACTGTGTCACCAGGAAAGAGTTGCTCGCCATAGTCAAAGCCGTAGAGCATTTCCATCATTATCTATACGGCAGAAAATTCCTGCTCCGCACCGATCATGCATCATTGACCTGGCTTTTAAATTTCAAGAATCCTGAGGGTCAAATAGCCAGGTGGATACAGAGACTCCAGGAATATGACATCACTATCCGTCATCGTAAGGGATCATCACACGGAAACGCCGACGCCCTGTCTAGAAGACCTTGCCAAGAAAGCTGCCGATATTGTTCCAGGGTGGAAGCGAAATACGAGCTGCTGACTCCGGTCGCAAGACAAATTACAACATCAACATCGGCTGATCGAGAACCGTGGAGTGATGATGAAGTCAGGAAAGACCAGCTGGAAGACCGCGACATTAAACCCATAATTGATTTAATGGAGTCATCAAACAGAAAACCTACCTGGCAGGACATTTCTATCTGTAGTCCTACAACCAAACATATTGGGCACTCTGGGATTCACTTCACATTCGAAACGGCGTCTTATACCGGAAATTCGAATCGGATGATGGGAAGACGTTCCGATGGCAACTGATACTTCCAAGATCCCGCATTCCTGATGTCCTTAAAGAACTACATAACAGCCCTACGGGAGGTCACTTTGGAATAATGAAGACCTTACAGAGAGTTCGTGAGCGCTTTTACTGGAATAATGCAAAGGATGACGTGCAAAAGTGGTGCCGATCTTGCGATGCCTGTGCAGGTCGGAAAGGACCGAAGAGACGCAGCCGAGGCAAGCTGCAACGTTACAACGTAGGGGCGCCTTTTGAACGTATCGCCTTTGACATCTTGGGACCTCTGCCACGAACTGCTGATGGCAACAAATACATACTCGTTGTCATTGATTACTTCACCAAGTGGCCTGAAGCGTATCCTATTCCTGATCAAGAGGCTGTCACAGTAGCTGAGGTAATGATACAGCACTGGATTTCCAGGTTCGGAGTGCCTCTTCAGTTACATTCCGATCAGGGAAGGAATTTTACCTCGGCAGTAATCAAAGAACTATGCAAACTACTCGGCATTGACAAAACTCAAACGACGCCATTGCATCCCCAGTCGGACGGCATGGTAGAGAGGTTCAATCGAACCATCCTTAATAACCTCTCATTAGTGGTTTCCAGAAACCAACAGGACTGGGACAAGAAATTACCACTCTTTTTACTGGCTTACCGCAGTGCTGTCCACGAGACTACCGGCTATTCTCCATCACAGATGCTCTTCGGTCGTGACCTTCGTCTGCCTTGTGATCTATTGTTTGGCCGCCCTCCGGATGCTCCTTCATCGTCTGAGGAATATATTCAAGATCTCCAGGCCCGGTTTGAAGTGATGCACAACTTTGCACGAGAGCGAGTCAACTTGGCGACGGAGAAGATGAAGACCCGCTACGACACAAGAGCTACTGAACATCAATTCCACGAAGGAGACAAGGTGTGGTTGTGGAATCCGACTCGACGGAAAGGACTTTGTCCGAAATTACAGTCACCTTGGGATGGCCCGTACACAGTCCTAAACAGGCTGAATGACGTCGTGGTTCGGATTCGTAAGTCTTCGAACTCTAAACCTAAAGTCGTTCATTACGACAGGTTAGCTCATTACTATGGCCATAGTACGTAATGTAAATAATTGTAAATAGTATAAGACCATGGTCCTTTTTGTTTTTAAATGTGTATTTGATTTGATTTGTATTTAGTATTTGATTTGCATTTAGTATTTGATTTGTATTTGATAGCATTTGATTTGTTTTATTTATTGCATTTATTGTTCATGTTGTTTATTATTGTAATGTAATGCTTATTAATGCATTTATGCCACAGTTGTAAGTTTAGCTTCCTGTCCAGGGATTGTACTGCCCGGGACGTGCAGTCCTTGGGAAGGGGGCAGTGTTACGAATTTGGTATTTAAAAAGCTAATGTTAGTTCAATTATAAATTAAATGGTTTTATTTCTCGCGCAGTGCAGCGCGTGACGAATATTAAAAGAAAGCTAAGCCGGAAAATTGAAAATACAAGAGCGCGTGCATTAAATAAATAAATATCTCTTTTTGATTTCGAGAAAGTACTGGAAAATTCTAGCGCGTGATTTTAAAATCTTATAAAAGGAGGAAAACATCTCAGTTTGTAGTAGTTGCTTAGTTTGTTGTTGTTTAGAAAACTGCTCTTGTTGATTGTAGCGAATTCGCGGATTAGCGTTCTTTAGCTGTTTTGAATTACGTTCTATTGGACATTTGAGTAGTTAAAAGATAACTACTGTGAGATATTGTAATACTGCATGATAATTTGAGAAAATTTAAGCATTTTTGTTGTGATAATAATAAATTTTTGTTCATTTTTCATCGGACTTGTGCATTCATTTCATAACGAAACCCGTCACGCAACAATATAATTTATTTCAGTAAAACCAAGTTTTGCCTTTTTAAATTTAATTTCATTTCAGGGGAGAATACAAGAATTTTCGGCATCATAAAAATATCATTTAAAACTATTCAGTGTCCAAAAGGAAGTAATTAACTAGTTTATACCCTTTTTACAAAGTTATCAGGGATTTCTTTCTATTTAAAACCTCCACCACTACTTCTATAATGATGTAAATATGAACTTGTGGCTTTCAGAAATTCTAGATGCGGCTCTCGAACATTCCTGAATTCAAACGTGTGGCTTTTACTGACATGAAGTTTGGCCAACCCTGTTACATGGTCTGACCAACCAAACGTAATTACTATATTCAAAACAAGGGAGATTATAAGATGACTATAATATTTTAGAACAACAATTCAATGTGACAAAGCATAATGTAGATTATTACACATGAAGTTATAATTTAAAATATTCTAATGGATGCAAAACTGCTATTTAATGCATATAAAACAAAAAGTCCCTGAATAGGCTTTACATTGGAAATTAGCCACTATATGAAAAATTGTCCATCTTTCCTTTCTACATGGCAGTGTGCGATAAAACATTACGTTTCTTCTGAAACAACAATTAACAAAATGTACAAGTAATAAGTGAAAGCGTCCAGCATTTATGCCCCATAATAAATTCAAAGCTGATAGCTTGGGATAGCAAAAGCCCTCAAAGAAAAGGTTCTAGCACTCAGCATTAAGTACTTTTCTATAGCCCTAAACTCTTTCTTGACTAACATGTCCCAGACAGCCTTTCATTCACACAACCAATGACCAAGATGACACGCTCTATGTCTACCTCTGCCTAAAGTGCATAAACAGCCTAAGGTGCAGTTTTCTCAAATCCGCTTTATCAGTTCATCTTTAGCATAGACCAGAGTTTCTTAAACTGTGGGTCACCAAAAATTTTAGCAGTTTCGATATTTCTTTAACTTATTATAATTATTTTACAATTCCCAAATATTTTTACACAATGTACCTGAAAATAGATAAAAATAAGACAGGTTAATCTTTGGATTATGGTAACTTGGCGATTTTTTGGCGACGAATCCTGCTACAGCAACCTGCTAGTTTTTGTTTGGACGCTATTTTGTCTTCACAAAGTAAAGGCATGTTTTTTTTTTTTTTTTTTTTTTTTACTCAATATTTTTTTCCAACAATCTGCGAGCCGAATTACTCTTATGCTAGAACTTTTATGGAACAAAAGTGCTTAATCATGATGAAGATTAGGTGCGAAATTGGGAGAAAGTGCAGAATCGCAAACTGCTTGCCACGTTTTTAAGAATTGCTCATACACGGTATCCATGTACACATCGACCTATTTTCACTTAAAAAAACATCCCAGAATTGCACAAAAATGGCACTGCGCCCACTCTTGACTTTATCCATGTACACTGCTAAAGTCCTAACTAGTAACCTTTACTGCCTTACCAAAACGTCGCCAAATTACCTGTTACCATATTCCAAAGATTAGCCATAAGACAATACAAACAAAGAAAAAGCAAAAATGTTTTGACGCATTCTTTTTATAACATCATTAATACATATATCATTTTACTTGCTTTGCTTGTCACGCTGTCATTTCATCTGTTATTTATTTAAAATTTTCATTACTCTATGTCTTGAAATTAAAGTTAATGATGTAAAACTGCAATAGTATATTACAATACAAGTGAAAAAATTGAAAGTTTCACTCACACATGTGTCGAATTTACACCATGCTTATGGGATCCCACAAAATTTTCGTAAATATTTTAGGGGGTGTCCTGGGGTCACAAAAAGAAATGTCAGTGAGAAAAAGGGATCGCAACTCAAAAAACTTTAAGAAGCTCTGGTGTAGACAGTTGGGTCAAGAAAGAGTTCTTTTATGGGTACTTAAGCTTCAAGTTAAAGGTGACATTGTACATTCTCAGGGACTATTAGAAGCTCCTTTGTTAAGAACTACAAACCATATCAACTTTACATCTCTTTGCTTGTATATGAATAGGAAGGAGGAACTGTTATGAGTCTCAAATGGAATTTATGGCATTTCAGCAAGTATATGAGTGAAAGCCTTGGCATTCCAAGGGCTAATGTATTATTAGCAATACAGAAACAACTTGTTAAAATAAATTTTGGTACTTTTGACTATCCACAGAGAAAAAAGCATAACAATACAACAAGAAAGTAAATGTATGGCAATTTTCTTCTGCGGCAATATTTCATTTCCTACTTGATATCTGAACTGAACACACTGAACTCTTTCTTTTCCCTTTCCTTCATGCTATCTATCACACACACAAAAAAAGGCCTTCTCATTTTTACATCTTGTTTTAAAATAGTTCAATCTAAAAGTTGCATGCTTCAAATAGGATGCAAAAAGAAAGGTTCATTGTCTAATAATTACTGCATAGCACAACCCGCCTCTTAGAAGTAGAGTAACACGTGCTACATATACTACAACAACAAATCTACATTGCAAAACACAATTTAAATACTTTAGATCACAATTAATGTATTGAAGATTAAACATCAACCTTCAAAATTACACATATAAGCTATAATATTCAAATCATAAAATAATTTTTAATTTTAATAAATTTTTAATATTTCAAATGCAAAAGCATTCGATAACAGATCCTTTTTTTATTATTTGAAAAGAATCTTGTACGTCATATAATTCACTGAAATGTAAATAAATAATTCTTCAAATATGAAACTCTTTTACTTTTCAAAAAATTATGATAATTATGGAATAATTCATTACCTCAAATCAGTATCTTCGATGAAGAATATGACATTCTCATCAGTTATTTTGCTGATATGAACAGACGGCTGATTTGCGTACGGCATTTCAGTGCACACAAAAAGTTTGAATACTTATATAAACTCAGTTGAAAAATGCAAAAACTTAGCTCATTGAACACAAAAAAACTACGCGATTTCCACGGATCGCAACTTATCCACAACCACTCTTTAGCGCTCTCATTCGTATATAAGCAGCTCAGAGCTCAATGATTTATAACGGTTTAGTTATTTCTTTTTTTTAACCGTTGAATAATTGAATCCGAAAATAAAAGTAATGTTTCAGAAAATTGTAAAATTTCAAATTTGTAATGAATATTAAATTTATGAAAAATTTCTTACCGTTAATTTAATTTTAAATATAGCAAATCTCTACTAAATAAATAATAAAATTAAACGAAATGAAGAGAATTGACAACTAAACTCGCTTATTTTGGGAGCATGTTGAGGCAAAGGCGCGATTGTTGACGATTTATCGAGCCGATTATGAATCCAACTTGACGTAAGGTTGTAGATAGTGTAAAAAGTTTGAGATAACTTATCCACAATTTTCAAAGAACGGGTGTTTATACCTTTTAGTGCAAAAACTAATTTTATGTGAATTTTAATGTGGTCGGGATCTTAATTTTGATTTTGCAACCGGTAATTTTCACAGAATTATATTTTGTTTGTTCTCTGTTTATACGAGTTCGCAATGGATTTTTAAACATTTTAATACACTGTAAAGAATTTCAAGAAGCGTAATACTCATATGTAATAACTATCAATTGATTTATCATTATCTGTCTTTTATATTAAAATACCATGAACCCTTTCGTGGCAAGTATTTTGGAGAGCATAAATACGCATCAGAAAGTAATTATAGTAATTCCTCAGGCGATCGCTTCCTAACTGGATTGAGACTATCAAATATGTGTTAAGGCAACTACCAAAATATTTAATTTCGCTATCTAAAAGAATATTTCTTTGGACAAATAAATCACGTAATTATACATCTACTTTTCAATATACTAGCCAACTAATTTTTATAGAAAACAGTTGTTACTCATTTTTGAATCATAAATTTCATACAAACAGTTATTATTCAGTACTTTTACATGATTCATGGAATTTTATTTTGCCAACTATTTATACAGATTTTCTCATTTTTTTGTGTGTACATCTAGTAACATACAACAAATTAGTATTCAGAAGGTACCACAACAGTTAACAGTTCATATCTTTATGTGGTGTACAGCCTGTCATGCTGATTTTAACTTGACAGTTGTATGTATCTATTTCTTCGTCTTCCATCTAAATTTTACATTCCATAAAGTTTAAATGATTACTTTTGAATTTTAAAATTATTTGTTCTGAGAGCCTCAGATTAAGATATTTGCAAAATAGAGTGTAAAAACAGTCAATATAGAAACTTAATTAATAGTTATTGAAGTTGATTTTTAAAAAAAGTAAAAAGGGACAAAAAGAAAGTTAGGGGAAAAGTGCAATTACTGGTTAATAAAAAAGTTTTTTTTTTTTTTTTTTTTTTTTTTTTTTAAATTAATAAACCACCGATATGTATGTCTAAACAGTTTTAGGAATGAGAAAGATTACTCCAAAGATAAATTCAAATTGCAGATGTTTTTTGAATGGAATAGCTTAAGAAGCAGAAAATGTTTTTGAAGTTAGTAAGTAGAATTTAGAATGTAAATTTTTTGGGTGAAGTGCAGAATTGCCCACTTATTTGGCGCTTTTTACAAGAGTAAGAAGAATTGAATTTTTGTCAATTTCTGTTAACTTTTTAAGTGAAAATAGATCAATGTGTACATGGACTAAGTCGAGGGCATGCGCAATGCTGAGTTTGTGCAATTCTCTGATGTTTTCTAAAGTGAAAATAGGTTGATGTATACATGGATGCTGAGTCTGTGCAATTCTTAAAAACATGCCATGCAGTGGGTGATTCTGCACTTTTTTTTTTTTTTTTGGCCTCTCTCTCTCTTTTTTTTTTTTTTTTAAGCCTCTGTGTGAACAGTATATAATGATTTCCTTCCTTTGTTTTAAAATATTATTTATTTGTAGCTTTTCAGAAAAATTACATACAGTTCTCAAGTTATTTTAATTTTTCACTATTTATGTTTATAGTTAATTCATAATTAATTAATAAATATAATGTCACATTCTTATTTCATAATTTTTATAACGTAACTCTAATGAACTCTGCTATATAAATCTTTAATAACATATAATATTCTTTATGATGGCTTCTGTAACCAAACAAGATCTTCCAAAACCATGATAATCATCATAGAAAGGGCTGATTGTATTTTATGTGAGATTGCAAAACTGTGACACTCAGTAATTTATTTGCAGTTATTCTAAATGGCAAATTTAGGAGAAGAAGATATTTTTCAAATTCTTTTGGCTACAGATTGTCATTTAGGATACCTTGAAAGTGATGCAGTGAGAGGTATATGTGGTACTTTTATATTATTTTAAAGAAAAATTTGTAGAATTAATATTTTGATTCTCATTATGTATGTAATTTAAATGTTTTATTTTTAACTCATTGCCAAAAGTGAGAAAGAAGTTTTTTTTTCATAATTAATGCTATTTGACAAAATTTAAATTTTTCCATGGAGTTGCATTTCAGAGATAAAATTTTTTGTTGGTGAAGATAGAATTAAAGGTACTTAGTGTATTAATGCAACCACCTTGATGCAGTTTGGCAGTCTTTTATGGATGAAAAGGTAAACATCACTTATCGGATGCAAGTTAGTGAATTTTGAGTTCTCTTTTTTCCAATTCCCAAACAGTTTTATTTATCATAAGAAGCCAAACGTTGTCAATGTATCAAAAGAAAACATTTTAAAATACAAATTTTAATTATTAAATAAAGGTTTTATGGTGTATTAAAAAATAAAACTTTTAGCAAAGTATTTCTCTAATTTTTTAATGTTGTTCTTCAGATATACCCAATAATCTGTTTTTTTTTTTTTTATTATTATTGTTGTTTTTTTCTTTTAATCACAGAATTGCACAAAATACAATACATCCCAGCTCTCTACCATACTCATGCCATCATTGTTCCCTTTAGTTACTTTATGGCAAAATTTTGTATTCCTGATGAACTTTTACCTTAGTTTCCGTTGCTGGCAAATTCCGCTAGCAAAATTTTAAAATAGAGTTGAAGACAAAAAAAATATTGTACTTTTCCGTTTCGCCAGCGCAGATCTTGCCAAGCAGACTTTATTGCCGACAACACATAGTATATACATAAAAAATATTAACAAATGTTAAGAAATTTTTATTTTGAAGGCATAAGCATTTTAATATCGTTTAAAATTTTGTAAAAACACAATAACTAAGTAAATACAAAAAATTTGTAAAAATACATTAATTTAAGAATTTACTATGCTTTGTTGGTTCAACATCCTGATTTGCCGCTTCATATCACGTGACCTAAAGTGATCTCATCTCACGTAAACTACGCTACAAAAATATAATTCCCTACATTAATTTCAAGTTAAATCTTAATTTGGAATACAAGTTTAAATTCAAGAATTATTTTAATTCGTATGAATAGCTTACTCAGAGAAATTATGTAAAACCGCAGTGCTTTACTTCGCTAGTGCATTCTCATTAGAATTGATGAATTTTAATCCTTGACTTTGCCTTTTCTATATTTTCGCCTTCGGGTGAGCGGTGTGATTTCACCCTGATTCACTGAATTACCGTGAATGGCCTTGGAGCATAAAACTGAACTATCTGGTAAAAATTCTATGTAATTGTATGCCAGTATTGAAAGGAACAATCAATCTGATAAGAAATCCTTCGACTTGTTTTGAAAATAAGGCATAAAAGGTTACCGGTGAGGATATTCTGTTTGGCATTGGTTGTACCATTTTTACGACTTTATCAATTGCACCGGCAAAATGGAAAAGTACCCAAAATATCATGATTTGTTGATAAAAACTTTTGGAACTCTGGAGTACAAAAAATTGCATACAAAAGTGGTGATGTTGCTTAACTGATTATGATTGCCAGAATTCGGCTCATTGTGGAAAGTTGACAACTTCTACTAAGGCGGTTGGGATAATATGCAAGTCCTGAATTAAGTTTCTACATGAGATGAAAGATAGGATAATACACATTTCTAACTTTAGAACTAGAGATCTCCAATTTATATTTCCAGGAGAGAATATGTTGGTACTATTCTGTTATTGAGACCAGATTCAGAAACTTATGTGCATGTGTATGTATGTATGTATATACAGTTAAAAGTCGTTAATTCGGAATGATCTATAATTCGGACCTCAAAGCTAAAAACTTTCTGCGCATGCGCATAGGCATTTACGCGTTCGCGTAAGACCTTTTACGACTGCGCATATGAGTGTGCGCAAGTGCAGAATACGTTTTCGCGTCCGCGTTTTATGTATAACGGACGGTATAAGCTAAAATTATCTAATTATCGATTTCAGTTAATGTTGATGATTGCGTTGTTCCTTAATTTTCGAATTGGATCCGGCTTATTATTTTTTGCAGACTGTAAGAGCAATACTATAAAAGTAAACTTGAACTTTCGATTATGTCAAATAGAATTTCCGATTCTGGAGCTCTCAAAGGATCGTACGAAACGAAAGTATGTTTCGATGTTCATCAAACAAAAAGTGGAATTGCTGCAAAAAATGGATAAAGACATGAAGAATGTGACAGAGAGGTTAGTGAAAACGAAAAAATTTCGATTGACAAGTTAGTCGGTATTCTCGGCACAGCAATTAATGGGACTTGAACAGCCGAACTTTGTAATTGAACAAGAAATTATGTCTGTTTATAAAATTAAAGAGAAAGTATTATCACATAAAACAAAGCAACTTACATTGAAAGAAATGTTTAATAAAGTAAACAAATAAATATTAAGCTTTTTTTTTTTTTTTTTTTTTTTTTTTTTTTTTGTAAATTTTGATACCCTTTAGATCATAATTGTTCTTTATTTCATAAATTACGGTTTCATATTTTTAATTTTATAATTTCTGCATGCCATCTTACGAGATTTAAACTGATGATCTATAATCCGGAATCGCTGAAGTCCCGACGAGTCCAGATTAACGACTTTTGACTGTACATATGTGCTTACATATACAGTACAAAGTCTTTAATCCGGACTGATCAGGACTTCGGCGATTCCGGATTAGGGGTTTAGATTCGGCGATACCGGATTAGGGATTATAGATCATCAATTTAAATCTGGCTAAACAATATCAAAATTTACAAAAAAAAAAAAAAAAAAACCTAATATTATTTGTTTACTTTATTAAGCATTTCTTTCAATGTAAGTTGTTTAAGTTGCTTCATTTTTTGTGCTAATACTTTCTCTTTAATTCTATAAACAGACATAATTTTTTGTTCAGTTCCACTGTTCAAGTCCCGTAATTGCTGTGTCGATAATACCGACTAACTTGTCAATCAAAATTTTTTCATTTTCAATAACCCCTTTGTCACTTTCTTCACTATCGGAAGCGGTACATCGAAATATGCTTTCGCATTGTAGATCCTTTTTCAGCTCCATAATCGGAAACTCTTTTTGACATAATCGAAAGTTCAAGCTTACTTTTATAAAATTGCTCTAACAATCTGCAAAAATTAATAAGCCGGATCCAATTAGAAGATTAAGGAACAACACAATCTGCAACATTAACTGAATTAGATAATTTTAGCCTACCTTATACCGTCTGTTATACATTAAATGGGCATGCGTAAACGTATTATGCGCATGCGTAAACGCATATGCACAGGTGCAGAAAGTTTGTAGCTTTTAGGTCCGAATTATAGATCATTCCGGATTATAGATGTCCGGATTAAAGACTTTGTACTGTATACATGCATGTAAAATATAAAATCTACCTTTAAAGTAATAAATTAATAGCCCTTAAACTCCTGTCTTCATTCTCTAAATAACAGAGCAATAACATTCTAACTAAGCAAAAAAGATCCATCATTTAATGTGTATTGTGCACTTACCGATGAAATCTGAATCCAACACCTACACATTAAACTGTCATGTGATCTGAAATGGAATTCGGTATAAAATCTTATTTGCATCGCAATTCTTGCTCTCTTTCTCTTCTGTCTTCCCTTCTGCTTCCAGACACTTGTGTCGCCTTACCGCTATCCATGCAGAGTTTACTTTTCTCATTTTCGCCCTTTAACCCTCTGAGTGGTATGACCGACTTTATCCAGTCATCAGAAGTTTGGCTACGTGGCGTATATTAGCTTATAATTTAAAATATTTTGCTTTTTTACTTTCTTTAATAATGTAAATATCATCTTAATGAATGTAGGTTTTTGAAAATACAGACTAAAATAAGTAGTTATACTAACTGAATTATTAAATGCTGTTTAAATACTGGTCTACATGACATATCTAAGATCCTGCACCGCTCAGAGAATTAAGAAGATGTAATCTGGACAAAATTAGAGGGCGTATAGCGCACCCACAGTGATAATGTGCATTATCCAGAAATAAAATTATTTATGGAACTTGGGCCATGTCTTCAAGTTTTTTTGGTTTATCCATACATCGTTCTAACTGCGCAATCAAGTTGTCTTCAAGTTCTGATGCAGAGAAGCACCTCCAATCCATTGCAACTTACTTCTACCAAGTCATCCTATTACAATAATAATGCAGTCTTATCACAATAATGGAGCAATTTTATTACATGTATACAAGAACACATATGCCTATACATACATTTCTAGATCCAGTCCTGATAACAGAAGAGTGCCTATATGTTAATTTTAAAATAGTAGTAGATAGAAACATTGCAGTGATCTGATTCATTTACACAAAAAGTCTAGAAAATTTGTTACTGGATAAAATAATGTTTAATCATTATGGATTCAAAGTTTAAAAAGTAATCAGTGTACTTAAAATACTTTGATCAAAAGATTAATATAAATTGCTCAGCATGATTTTAAAATGTTCTTTTGAGAAATTAACAAAGTATGCAAGGTTTTTAATCAAAATGCATAGATTCATATTTTATATTTGATTCTATTTCATAATAATTTGGAGAATATTCTTTTAAAGGTTATTAAAAATGTGCTTTAAAAACTGAATAGTAAAATGTCAGATCTGGTTCTTATAGCTAGACAAATCTTTTTGTTTGAAAAATTCCTAGACAATCAAAATTTTACAGATGTGCATCTTTTAACGTAATGTTTCTTTCCTTTATTTTATCATATTATTTGTTTTGGTATTCCCCATTTAGTCGTAAGATAGTTTTTAATGAATTTTATCAAGCTTATTAAAATTTTTAGAAACATAATATAATAGTAAAGTTTTTAAAGTAAAGTTTAAAAAAGCTGTATAAAATAATACTGTATTATGTAGTTAATCAAATTGGAAGAGAAGCAGGCCAGTATAAAATTTGAAATTAAGCAAAAAAGGCAGTCTTAATTTGGCTTAGG